GCTCCGCGCGCGGAGTGAGAGAATCTATTTCGTGTATACCCAGTGCGCATACCTGCCGATGCTAATTAGGTGTGATTGGAATTTTACACATTCACATTCTCACACAGCAGCAACAGTTAGATCGAAGTGGAAAATAAAATAATAATAACAATAAACTTGTAGATTCTCTCGAGTCGATCGATAATCAAAAACGGAAAGTGGCGCGCCACTAGAATATATACATATAAAAGTATAAATCGGATGCCGACGATCCGTAGAGCGTATAATTGAAAAATATCGCGAGCTATAGCTTTTTTTTATTTATATCAATGCCACTCTTCGTAGCTCTCCTCGTAGCTTCGAGTCATAATAGTCTCTTCCATGCTCGCGCGGTCTCTTTTGTATTAAAGTGGAAAACTCGACTCGCACACAAACATATAGACACAGGCAGGCAGAGGGGCACAGGAGCGTGGCAAAAGAGTGCGCCGCGCGCAACCTGGCAACCTACATTATAAAAAGCCGGATGTATTATACATGTGTATATACATTCTTCCGTAGCTCGTCCGCCAGTAGTAATGTTTGCCATTCTTTTTCGAGTCGACTGGCAGTGGTTCGTCCGACTCGCGATGTATATATACGTCAAAGTTACTTACGTATGATTGCTCAATCGGCGAGCACGTGTCCAAGTATAAAGGGTGTTGATCGGTCGTAGAGAGAAATTAGCCTTTCCCCCCTTCGCGTAGGATTTCTTGGAAATAGAAACATTATCAAAGTCGGTGTATATATCGTACCCGTTGCTGCCAAGGAGGGAGCTAATCGTCGAACCGACAAAAAAAAAGAGGAAGATTCTAAGCAGTAATACCCGTGCCTTATTATCCAGTCCGCCTCCCTTTTTCACTTATTTTACATATTATACAGCTGAAAAATGCTTGCAACACCCAAGTCCAAGCTCTGCACGATCCGAGAAAAAGCTCGTAAAAATACACACGTAAGCGCGAGTCGAGAGCAGTTTTAAAGTAGCTAGAGTGTACAAGAAGTATCACTGTATAAGTACATACAGCTGGCAACAGAAGTAAAGAAGAAGCAAAACATCATGCGGAAGTCGAGGTTCTAGCTCCGAAGCGAAATAAGCTAATCGCGCGCGAGCCCCGAGTCTGCTACGCTATACATACGCTGCGTACTTATGCGGCCTGTGCACTTATCTACATTCGATTTCTGACCTAACGGAATTTGCTCGTAGCAGCCCCTTTGCGAGCGCGCCCGAGAACTGCCTGTAATGCGCTCCTGTGTCTATATATGTATGCGTGCATAAGGCGAGCATTCCTTTTATATAGATAGGATACACATGCGCATCGGCGTCAAAGACGGAACTGTTATTTATAACACGCGTATTATATACGTTTATGCACATGATGTGGCAAAAGAAAAGAGGGAAAAAATAACATATCCTTATGATTACTCCATCGGAGTGTGTACCATCCTCTCTCTACTCTCTGACTCTTCTTCTGCTCAGTTTGAATTCTTTTTTGCCTCTCTTATACGTGCGTGTCATAAGTACCCGTGTATAGTAAACGAACAGCAATATATACGTAACAGCAGGTGGTCTCTCTCTTGCAGAAGAGCGAAAATATATACAAAGTATTAATTTCGCAATTTGTACGATATCCCTGCCCTTACTTGTACACGCGTCCGAGCTTTGATTCGGCCGGAGAGAGAGGAAGCATAATTACTTTTCGTACGCGCTGCGTATGCATACATCGTACTTCCGCGCGTACGGGTGTATCGTCCTCAATAATCACGATAACGAACGCGCGCTGCTGCCCAGGATGTGTACATTACACACACCGCGAGGAGTTATGAAAATTATTATCGCGCGCAGCGCGCACACACACACACACACACACACATTCGAGAAAACTCGGCGCGAGACTCTTTTTTCCGGTCGCGAGGCCCGCGCGATGTGTCCATCCTTTATTAATGTAACACTTATTATCGCGCGGACGGAAAGGAGCTGCTGCTGTGTGTGTATGTGTATCCTTGACGAAATTAAAACCCCGAAAAAAAAAGGAATCAAAGAGAGAAGAAGTGAAATTTCTCGTACGTGTAACGATATTACGAAGCTGCCTGCGATGAGAAAGATAATTTGGAAAATCCGTGGTGTAGAATAAATTGTATCGAAGTCGCGTGCGCTCGTCATTAAAGGTGTATAATATACAAAACGAAAGAAAAGAAAAGAAGAAAAAAATAATGAAAAATAAAACCCGCGCATGTACATAACAACTGGAGAGAACTCGAGCTCTCGTATATACGTATGTAATATTGCGCAATTACGTATGTGCGTGTGTGTGCGTAATTGACCGATTGATGTATGCGTTTCAACGCATCAGTTGACTCGAGTGTACGGTATAATACAGCGCAAACAGTTGCCCGTATAGGCTCGCGGGTGCGCAATAAACAATAATTTCGTCACGCGAATTATCGGTGCGCGCAGGGAAAAAAAAATCGCAACATTTTTTTACCACTTCTTCGACGCGTCTCTTCTTTTTTTTTTTGTTGTGGCGCGCGTCCAGAATTATTTCGTCGTCGATCGTTATAACAAGGATTGCGTGGCGGATTGCGTCAGGTTATTATTATTATTATTATTTAACCGATTATTTGGGCCACAACTCCTATATACAGGGAGTCCTTGTCCCGCGCGCGAGCCCGCGAGTTGTGAGATTTTAATTACGGCTATGGCTGCAGCAGCTAAGTGAATAACAAAAACAACACCGTATAGTGAGCAACAACAACGAAAGCAATTAATTTTTATCCCACATATAGGTACAGTGCGTCGAGGCTCTAAGTTAGGTTTTAATTTAATAGGGGGGCGACAGCGCGGACTCCGCACACGGAGTAAATAACGCGCCTTGCGTTGTGCCATGCGTCAAGCTCACCGAGAGATCTCGATGCCGGCACATACCTACCTACCTATCCCATAGTATATAGCGGTGCGTTTCGACAAGCTCGCGCGCACGTATCTCATTTGTGCTCTTGGGATTTCAATTTGGACTCGATGATTGCACCTTCGCGCACAGACGTATACTGGACGTGTTAGATTCGCCAAATCGTTTGGCTAACTCCTTATTATGGCCGCGCTTTGAAATTTTAATCAAGATACATCACGTGTGTGTGTAGGTGCATCTCATTATTATTATATATCTCGACTGTATGGTCATCGTGTGTCGTAATTGCGAAGAAAGTTTTTTTACGTTTATAATGTACGAATATTATATATGCTCAAGGAAGCTACGTGCACCGACTGTGGTATATGTATAAGTTATTTTTGAGGCATTTTTATTCAGCGAAAGTCAAGGGAGGGAGAAACGAGCAAAAGAATCCCCGAATATATATATAGCGCGCGCCGCAATTGAGAGATGATGTGTAAAAGACGTAACTGATGCAACCGGTATACCAATTTCTCGGGCAGCATTAAAACATCTCTCTCTACTAGCCTAGACATATAGACAAACTCGATGATTGGCTCGCGATGCTTAGATTCTTGGGATAATTTCGCCGAAATTCTTCGAGAAAATTTACAAACGCAGTGGATATAATGCAGTCGAAGTCTCAATTACATATTATAGTACGCGCGTCGCTCGCTCTCTCTATCTGCTGCGCTTTTTGCGCAATATCAAACGCGCCGCTGCGATGCAAATGCGCGCGCGCGCGTCGAGTTTTTCGCATCGAAGGATCGCTGCGCGCAGTACTGCTCGATTTCGAAATATCTCATCGTTTGCGCGCGTGGCGCGTCTACGAGGCGAGAGACACACACACACACACTACTATCGTAGCGTACGTATTAGACGTGTGCTCGCTTTCGATGATAATACGCACGCGAGACGCCCCTTTCTCAACCTACGGCAGCGATTGCGCGAAAATTGCACGTGTACAGAACGAGTGAATTATCCAGGATGACGCGCGGGCACGTTTTCTTCCCTATTATACCGTGTACACACAGACACAAACGTCGTTACAGGCCCATTAGTTTTAATAAAATCAGCGAAAACATACGTATGTGCTGTAGCAGTACATCTAATGTACTGGCTACAAGTGGCGACTTACGAGGCCCGCGAGCCGGCATTCGCGCGTATACAATAGATTATACAATGGACACGCACATACGCAGCAGAGACGGGACGACAACGAGGCGAAGCGACGCACACACACACATGCGCCGAGCACACGCAGGATGCACGCACACTCACACGCGCGTACACACACGACGTGACGAGCAGGCAACGACACGTGCCTCCGATCACGATACGCAGCGCCAAGAGAGGCGCGCGCGACGCTGCGATCTATCGAGCAGCGAAAAAGACGGCAGAATCTCTCGTGCCACGAAAAGTGAAACGACGACACTAACCTCAACGAATTAGCCGAACAGACGAAGGTCTTGAAAAGTCGTCCTCGAAAGAAGCAGGCAACGTTCTGCAAATAGAGTGTGTGTGTGTGCTCGACGAGCTTTACGAACCATCCACTTGGACTGACGAGTCCAAGTGAAGTTTGTGGCATAAACCATCGACACCATCAGCGGCCATCATCATCGACGCCGAGACGAGACGACGACGACAGCCCAGCGACGTGCCGAAGATTTTGCGAAAGGTAGTTTTAAGTCGTAATTTCACCGTCGAGTCGCCGCGTCCGTCGCGTAAGTTTATTTACACGCACCCGGGGAAATCACATCTCGCCGACGAGCCGAGCCGGTCGACGCGAACTCGCGGGAAAACGAATACGAGGAAAATTATCACGACGGTCTGCATGCCGTCTCATGCAGTGGCGCCCTTCAAATTTATACCATATAATTATAATCTAATTAATAATCAACTTGACATTTATTCAGTAGCTTAAGTTTATTCCTTTTATTTATTTTTCCCCCACCTAACCTAACGCTACAGTGCATACGCCATTGTGCAATGGGACATTTTCATTCTACAGATATTCTTAATTGACTCGATCGTTATTTCATTTGTTGCTCTTTGCAGGTGCTCACGGCTGCGGCTATCCCGGAGCCCCGGCCCACAGCAGCGTCAGATTCTCGGGTCCGTCGATCGAGGACGTGATCGACGAGGAGGACGGACCGATCGGCGCCCGGGGCGGCGCCGACATCTTCGTGCCCGGCACCGTGTCGACCTACACGTGCGAGCGCGGCTTCGAGCTGCTGGGACCCGGACGCAGGATATGCCAGGCCGACGGCAGCTGGTCACCCGAGGGTGTGCCCTTCTGTGGTGAGTACTTATTGTATACATATAGAATTACGCAATCGAGACGAGTATATAAGATGTACACAAAGACGATGGGACTTTGTCTCGGCTTATTGTTGCACACGATAATAAATATAATAATCCGATCCATGGAGCGTTGATCATCGCGATTTATCACTGCGATCCTATAGCATACATACACACACCTGTTGCAGCAGCACGCGCAGATAATATATAATTCGAAAATCGTCGGTCTCCGTTACGTATCTCTCGGGCTCAGCTGGGTACACAGAAACGATTTCGAGCAAAAAAGTATCAAAAGCAACGCGACATTGAAATAAAACCAAGTCGACCGCGCAAGCGATCATCCGCGCGATACATTATAAACATTTTCCAAACGCGAGAGAGCGATAAATTTCGCATATATTAGACGCGTCGTATACGGAGATTCAGTCGCGCGAGTATTGCTACGCGCGAAAAGTCGAGAAAGGCTACTATGCAGCAGTGCGTGAGCTAAGCACACGCTTCTCATATTTTATGGACTGCGGTACAGGATCGGAGAGCTTAACTTTTAACCTTAAGCCGTCCCGATCGGTATATCGCGATGGCTATTTATGCATAATAATAATGTGTGCAATCGCAGCAACAGCAGCAGCAGCAGCAAACCTATCGACGTTCGAATAAGTGTGTGTGTGTATGGGGTTCTGCATCGCTTATTACAATGTCTACACGCTCTACGTACTATACTGAGAGGTTCCATAAAGGCAGCAGCAGCAGATTATTTCGTAAAATGTAAACACCGACTGTAGCAGCGCTGCGCGGCTCATTAGCATATTTTAAAATCACTTTTAACGCTCATGAGTGTGTCTATATAACGCTGCATATTGTGTGTATATATACATGTATAAAGTCTTATAGGAGTAGGTACAGAAAAAGACGAGATAATGGAGGTGTCGATGCCGGTCGCAGCAGCAGCACACCTGCACGTGTACTGTATAAGCCAGTGTTGTTGTTCTGTATGCATTAATGCACAATATCCGAGAGACAATAGATATAAAGTACCCGCGAGTGAGTCGCTGCAGCAGCCAAGAATTTCCATCGGTTTGCATATACGTACATACACTCGAGGAGATCCATTGTGGTACATAAGCCGGCGATCGGTATATACACAAAACGTTGAAATTGCCCTGTCCGTGAGAGCTCGCTCGCGTCCTTGCCTATATAATATACTATTTAACGCTGCGCACGTGCTTAACTAATTATTATCGATCTCCTTCTCCCATACCGATCTCGGCGCGTCGATGGATGCATTAGCAGTAAGTCCGTAAATTACAATAGAGCCGATCGATTTATATCGTCTTGCGGTAGATCGTCGCACGAGCACCGCGTGGGCACCGCAGCAGGGATGCGCAGCTGCGGCGCATAAAAAACTTCTGCATATATATGAGCTAAAAAGAGGGGCTGAAAATCGTAATTTTTTTCCCTCGTTTTTGTCTCGTAAGCTCGATCTCCCCCTTATTATATGCACGCGCACGTGTGCGCCGCGGCTCGCTGAAATTCCGACATTCCGAAAGTTCGTTAAAAAGGGCCCCTTTCTTTGTAATGTTATATATAAATGCAAGCACTCACGCGATGCATCGTCAGTTTTTCACCAGGATTCCCCCCTTCGCTTGTATACTTTTACCCCCTGCAAACGATATTATATGGTAACGTATAGTACATTTCGTGCCGCTGCCGCTGCACTCGGTGAATAAACAACTCGACGAGCGAGAGGAGGCGAGGCTGTTATCGGCTCCGAGTCTCTCTTCGGTTCGATTCGTGCACTCGCACGCACGTACCCGCGCGTGTAATATACATAAATCCTTTTTGGCTATATGTGCACGCGCGCGCGGTACGCCACATTCTTCCGCGAATCTCCAAGACTCTCTTTCTTTCTGTCTCGCGGTGCACCTGTGGAATGCCTTCGAGCAGCTTGAGGCATGTGCTACACAGCAAACCGTGAGCGCGGACTCGAGAAGAGATTTTCATTTTAGTGCACTGTAAGAGAGATACGAATCTCGTATATTATACGACCGCGTATGTATGTAGTCTGATTCATTAGGCCGATTGGTGTACCGATATTTTACGCTAAACTATATACGCTTGTATATTCGACGATCGCGGTGAATCGCGAACCTGTCGTCGCGCGGGCACATATATATTATTTTATACGACTGTTTTTATTGTACCGTGCCCCTCCCTTCTCTCTCTCTCTCTCTCTCTCTCTAAAACTCTTTGAAGGCCAATCGAAGCAAGGAAAATATGTACGCTACGGATGTACCGTTTAATATGCTGCGCGCGAATATTATGAATTCCGCGCGTTATTAGAGACGGGCAGCCAAGAGCATCTCTTACTATTTACGCGCGATTACTTTTAACTGTAAAATATTCTTGTGTATAGTGAAGGCCGTGAGGCGTCTCGTAATACATAGATATAGATAGATATCGCGTATATATTCACTCGTACGGTAAGAGTATTTAAGAAGAAGAAAAAAAAGAAAATCATTTCGACGCCCCGCGTATAGAGGATTTCTCAATTATAATATGCGTCATTCGTGTGTATAAAGTTACTCATAAATTGATAGAAGATGTGCGCGGATGCCTTTAATAGGATTCATACATCTCGAGAGCCCATAAGTGTCTACTTAAAACATTTTCACCTGATTCAAATTTCTCATATCGTGTGTGTGCGTGTATTAAGTATATACACAGTCTCGAGACCTTGGGAATTTTGTATAGGTACGCAGGTCGAAAAAAAAGTAACAAATCGATATTACAATATGTACAACGATGCGCGGCTGAGCAGGTGCTGTATAATACATCGAAGAGAATCGGGATGGAAGAAAATCAGGTCACTGGAATAATTACTTGGCACTTTCTTCAACCTCGATATAATATAATGTACACATTAAAAACCCAAGGTCCAAAGTTAACGTTTCGAATTCGTACATAAAAAAAAAATAATCAAATGTCTCGATAGAGCCGCAATCTGGGATTAATCCGTACATTTCGTCGGTCGCCGCTGCTGCAGCGGCGCGCGAAATGCAGATATTATAAAACGCGCGCGCACACACACATGAGACTATATAGACGCGCCTCTAACGGTATTCATATCGTTTATACACTCGATATCGTCGTCGTCGTCGTGGCGGTCAAGGACATATCGCATTATATACTACGCAGAGAAGAGAAAATGGGGCCAGCCGTGTGAGCTCGCTGCGCGCGAATCTTTGCGCGCAAAATATAAACGCATACATATATAGTATAATGATAATTTTCTCTCTCTCTCTCTCTCTCTCTCTCTCTCCAAAGTTCCATAATATGTTCGCTCGCGCGCGCGTGGGTCGGCCGAGAAGCCGATTCAACGAAATAGAAAATATTAAATCGTGGAAAATGGGAATTAATTTTTAACGTGCATTTTATATATATTTATAGCGCTCATGCTGCGCTGTACAGCCAATTAGTGTGCAGCTTTTTCGAAAATATAATGTAGTGCGCGCGGTGCTCAGGAGTAATTGCATCGCTGCATTTAATATCTTAATGAATAGTTTTTTAATTTTATTTAATCGGTTACAACGTCTTCATTTTTTTCACGCGCAGTTTTACTTCGCGTATCGTGGTACGGTATGTATATCAATCATGGAAATGCGGCTCGTAAATGGCAGCTTTGTTTGCTCTTGTGTGTGTGCTACGAAAACTTAACATCAATATTTTAAAGGCAGCTACAGCTATATACCCGAGTAGTTTATTATAAAACGTTTCGAGCAAAAATCCTTTTTAACGCGACTCGCGCACACGTATATTATATATACCCTTGGGACGCACTTTCTTTCCACGCAGCAGCAGCAGCACGTGTACATAGAAAGTAACGTCGTTTTTCTAGCCTTTGAAAATTGCTCTCACGGGCGACTGCCGCAAAGGATATTTTTCTCGTATTTATAAATGTAATAATATCGAACGCCACTGCTATAATTGCCAGCTTCCTCTCCTGTCTCATAGAACAAGCATTTGTACGATATTATAAATGCATCTTCAGACTTATATTATCCGCCAATTAAGCCCGCTGATAAGCAAATGTATATAATGCTTCTTGCTGTAAGCTTCCTCTCTTCTCGATCGTTTATAATTGCGGCAGCGATCCGCGAGTCAAAGAAGAAAAACCGAGAGGAGAGAGCCAGCAGCAGCCGCGAGGAGTATTGTCATTTTGCAGTATGGTGTCGCGCGCATTCGTTTAAAATCATTAAAGATAATGAGGCGACCGAGCGCGCGCGGCGAAGACCACCGATTATTCCATCCATCATTATTATTATTGTATTTCCGAGACAGTTGAGCTTATATATATATATTTATATACTCTATACTCGGACTCGCGCGCAAATCGAGAGAAGGATTAGAAAGGCCAATCTCGAAGAGTTGAACAACACATCTGTGTGTATAAACAGTCACTGCGCGCGCACGCATTTTCACTTCAAACTCGTCGTCGTGGTCGCCGCGCGGAGATCATCGTGAAAGGATTTTATACATCGCGGAAAACTCGTTCGTTATAGATGTCTATCTCTGCTGCTGCTGCGGCGACTCCGTGCGTTATGTCTAGAGAACCAGTTGAAAATGTATTTAACTATGAGATACCTAACACACAACGACAACAACAGCAGTAGGCAGTAGTGCGCAAAAAAACAGGAGATTTTCTCGTGAAAAACCGCCACGACGGAAAGTCGCGCGCGCTGTGCAGCGCAGAAAGAACGTAAATTGAGAAAAATATTTCACTGCCGGGCGCACGTAATACGATAGTTATTATTATTATGTATATATAGCGTTATGTGCTGCTGCTGCTGCTGTACAAGGATATGGTCGGTCTATAAGGCCTTAATTTTATAACGCTATATTTTCGATGTAGCATAAATGATCATTCGGAATGCGGATTATACGCGAGTGTGTGTTTGCTCGATCGGAAAAAGAGACGAGGCCCTCCGGAATTATACGAT